TAAGATTCGACCCAATTTATCCCCCTTTAGAATAATAACTAGGATAGAAATTACATTTTATGTTTCTCTATACTATACAGATATTTCCCTTTTATTCCTGAAGAAGCGCAGAGTTGCGCGAAACGTTGAAGTCGCTCCTCCACCTCCCAACCCTCCATTAGCAGTTACCCCTGATCCAAATAACACCATCTAGGTTTGCGGCACCATGATATAGTGGGAACTGTTCTGTCATCATAAGGTTCTACCTCACTTACTGATTGAGTTTCACAAGCACTGTCACTTTATCTTTCACAATGGAACTGTAGTTTATTACGGTAGCCACTTCTTGGATGTAGGGCAGGGTTAGCAAGCCTGCTCACTATTTAATTACTTTTTATTATCATTATCAATTGGTGTTATCTATCCACATATGAATTTTTTGACACTTTTATAGAATTATAAAATTGATCATGTATGTGCACACAGTTTCATGGTGAACCACAATGTGTTTGACACAATCATGACCATCTTTTACATGCCTCAATTATGTACCTCTAACATACAAATCATGTGGAATCCTTTATAATCACTGCCTCTATCTCTGTACAAACTCTCAAGGTAGCCATACCTTGCTTGCGGGTTGGTGTTAGTGGAGAATTGATCTGCTCCACCCTCTAACCCTTCAAGCATTATTTATATAGGTCTTGTTGATATATTGTGGATATCAGATGAACTAATACTGGTGATAAATACATCAACCCACTATTGTGGATGGGGAATTATGTGGATTTCTAATTAACATTGTTTTCTGTATCCAATCATGCTCATTAAGTTGTTACAAATTGAATCATGTTGTATGCCGAGGGTCACACTCTGTTCCTAGGGCAGTGTTAGTAGAGAGCAATTATTCCATTCCACAGCCCTACGAACAATTGTATAAGGGCCTCTTTATATGTTATTTGGTCTTTTGGCATTGGAACCCCAATCATGTATGTCGATAAGAACATAGGATGAATCATGTATGTTTCTGTTAATGGTGAGGTATTGTGTATGTGGAAAGAGCTTTGTTAGGGACTATCTACTCAATTTTATTATTGGCTTTAAGCCCTCTTTGTTTCCCTTTTTTAAGATTTATATGAAATAAATAAATATATTTTTACATATTGTGGTTGGAGTTGTCATTTTCTGGTGCTTTCAAAACCCCACTTTTTTTCTTTCCTTAAAAGAATTTTTTTTTTTTTGCAATCCAAAATGTTAATAAACTTAAAACCTGAATATTTAAGAAATTTAAAGTGTGGTTTTGGCTTTCTTAGGAGAATATCTATGTGTGCACAGTTATTGGGCAACTATTTGTGTGCAGAATTATCATGCAACTAAATGTAAAACAAAAAATGTTCACATCTCAGTTGTATATTTTCATCCGTTAAAGTGAGAATAATAAACAAACAACTCAAAATGTACAAATAAACATTTCTGACATTATAAAAAACAAACTCAGTGACCAATATAGCCCCCCTTTTTTTAATAGCCTTCCATCCATGGAGTCTGTCAGTTTCTTGATCTGTTGACAATCAATTTTTTGTGCAGCAGCAACCACAGCCTCCCAGACACTGTTCAGAGAGGTGTACTGTTTTCCTTCACCTTAAATATCCCATTTAAGAAGGGCCCACAGGGTTTAGGTCAGGTGAGGAAGGGGGCTATGTCATTATTCTTTCATCTTTAAGGCCTTTACTGGCTAGCCACGCAGTGGAGAACTTCGATGCATGCGATGGAGCATTGTCCTGCATAAATATCACAACCTTCTTGAAAGATGCAGACTTTTTCCTGTACCACAGCATAAAGAAAGTGTCTTCTAAAAACTGGCAGTAGGTTTTGGAGTCGATTTTGAGTCCATTTTCAACCTGAAAAGGTCCAACTAGCTCATCTTTATTAATACCAGCCACTAGTAGGGATGGTGATGCATCCCTCTGAAAATTATTTTACAATTTTTGACCTCTCAGTTTTTTTTGGCCCATTTTGACTGTGGAAAAAGAAGCTGCCTAATTATTATGCCTTGATATTGGGTGTTGATCTCCTTATGCCACACCCTCACTCATTACACAAATACACATCACCTGATATGCTTAAATCCAATAAGCCTTCAAGTTTATACAGCTTGGAGTTAGGACAATTTGCATAAAAATTGTGATTTGGTCAAAATACTCACTTGCCTAATAATTGTGCACACAGTGTAAATTGTCCAAAGCTGACATCACCGAGGCCAAAGAATTTCCAGATTATTGGTAAAGTATAGATTTGCATCCATCTGTAAGCAATTTAGGTTAGCCATATATATCTGATTAAACCATTTAATCTAACCACTTGGCTATATAGTGTTAGCATTGGAATTAAATTAGAGAAATTTTAGCTGCAGTAAAAATTATCTCTATTTTAATTGTGTGATATAAATTTTCTGAAGCTAATATTAGCTTCTAGTCAATGGTTTAGTCTGTGATATATATATTTAAAAATAAAATAGCTTGGCCGGGCTTTGTTTTTCTACTTCAGCTAGATTTTAGACTAAAATAGATAATCCTGTACGTATAGAATCATTTTCAAATTGTTCATACATAGTAAGGATTTTGAGCTGTAATATCTGTTGGCTGGGAGATGTCACAGGCTAAATCTGCAAATTCTTGTCAAGTTCCGACAGATTTCACACAAAAAACCATATACAGTGAGACACAATGCCAAACATACTAAAAAATACATTTTGGGTCTAAATACACTTTAAAAAGAAACCAAATATTTATTATACCTTCTGTTAAATAAAAGAAAAATCAGTTCAAAGGTACTGTATATCTGTCAAAGTCTAAAAACGGCATCAGAACTAAAAGTAACTAAAGTAAAGCTAAGTTGTTACAGAGTTATTATGAAATATGATAATCAATGTGAAATAAGACAAAACAATTATTTGTTTATTTAGCACATCCAATTTGCTCAGGACTCCTTACAGTGTAGCACTTTTCTGTATAAGTATTCATGTAGTACTCTCACTTTATACCTACCTTACCAAGTTTTGCTTTTGCTCTATTTTGTCTTTGTAGATGACCTGAGAGATGGTAAAGCACAGCACGGCTTCGCCTACGATTGGCATTAAAACCTTTTCCTGTTAAACGAGTGTGCTGCTCTCCCCTTCCTGCCAGAATAAGAAATTGCATTCAATCAATACTCACTGTAATACTCCCACTGTCAACAGAATCCAAGAAGGCAACAATACAGAATGTTCAGCATATGGAAACATTCTCCATGTACCTGTCTCTTTCCAGCTTTCTGTCGTTCTGGTCTTGGCATCTGTGATGTCCTTGAATGAAACAAGAAAAAGAACCACGTCTCCCTTCTCATTTTTGATAGGTACGACATCCAGCAAGCACCAGAACTGTGAACCTGCACAGCAAGAGATGAAAAGGGATGACTGTCAAATCCATTCCACTGAAGCATTCATTGACAGTTTCAAAACACTGGCAGGTAGAGGGAGTTTCTTTGAATTGTTTTATTTTTTAGCACTGTCCAGCAGACCTGGTTTACCAAGCTTTATTAATAAACACTGGTCTTCAGTGAAGATTCATGAAGGTCTCCATAATTTGGTTGGCACTTCTTCCAAACAACTGAAAGCCTTTAGAGCTTAACAGTTTGAAGGAAGGAAGTGTGCAGACTACCTTCCACTCTCCCAGACCTCTCTCTTGGGCTAGCATTAACAGCTTTTAATTTCAACATAGCGGTCATACACCTATATCTATCAAAGTTTGACCCACAGCTGAAGATGCAACTGCCTTTGCAGCCCTTCCTTGGACTTAATGTGACACTAAACCCCGAAGTTAAATCTCAAAAATGCATTCAAGAACCTTAACTATTAACAAAAATGTATCTTATTTGTGTATCACTCAGCTTTAGATCCTCAAATCATCTCTGAATTCATGCCGACACTGTCCTTCCTTCTGGAGGGTGGCTAGTTTTGATCCCCATGGTCCTCGCGTGTGTTGACAAGTAGCCACCACTCCAAGCTCACCCCCTGATGGACTACAATCTCATGTTTGGTGTACTAATTTGTTTTGAAGTTATAGTCTATCACGGGAGCAAACTTAGAGCGATGGCTACTTTACAAGTAGGGTTGCACCGTTACTGATACTAGTATCAGTATCGATGCCGAGTATTTGGGCAAGTACTCGCCCAAATGCTCTGATGCCTAGCCCGATACTTGAGCTTCCAGTATCAGGAAGTCGGCAGCGAGCCGACGAGGTGACGAGGGAGCATGGAGACGGCTTCCCTGCTAATCGGGAAGCCGGGTGGCAAGTCTTTACACGCCGCCCGGTTTCCCGGCTAATTAGGAAGCCAGGTGGCGAGTCATTACACGCCACCGGGGTTCCTTAATAAGACTTCCGGTATCTGGTATCGGCGATTACCAGAAAAAAATATATCGGTACTCGTACTTGATACCGAAAAAGCGGTATTGGTGCATCCCTATTTACAACGATGGGAACCATGCAGAACAAAAGTAGCCACTCTCCAGAAGGAAGGACCTGTCAGACCTGCCTTAGCAGGAGTGTAAGAGGTCACCTGAAGTCTAACAATTGCTAGCAACTGGTAGATTTTAGGTGACAACATGACAGATTATTATAAACTTTCAAAAAACATGGAGGGGGGGAGACGATGCAAGGAAGACAAGACTGTGGCGTCCAGTAACAATACAAGACACAAAAAGTTCCCCAGCACACCTGCCAGCCAGCCTGCAACAAAACAAATTACCCTGTCAACAGTATGCGTTAAAAACAGAGGTTTTAGTTGCACAAACCTTTGGCCAAAAATATGTAAAAGCCACACTGCCACCGTCAAGGCACCTCTGTAAAGTGTGGTCCTAACTCTATTTATATGAGTCTCCAAGTGGGAGCATATTGTGTTTTTTTTTCTTTTTTTGGCTTTTGTGTTTTGTATTGTTGTAAGCCTTCCCATGTGCCCCCTGCTATATAGGCTTGTTATAAATGTATGCGGTTACCATCTTTTTCTAGTTTGACTATTTTTGATGTGGGGACACCCTGGGGGTCCCAGCGTGCATTTTTGGTTGTTGGGCCTCCAGTGCGTCTCTGCACCTTTTAAGGAGGAGTAGGCAACCTCCAGGTACACCTGCATTTAATTTATCGACTGCATTAATATGCTCACACTTGGAGACTCATATAAATAGAGTTAGGACCACACATTATAGAGGTGCCTTGACAGGGCGGTGTGGCTGGGGACCAATTTTGGCTATTTTTGGCCAAAAGTTTGTGCAACTAAAACCTCTGTTTTTAATGCATACTGTTAGACTGGGTAATTTGTTATGTTGCAGGCTAGCTGGCAGCTGGGGACCTTTTTGTGTTTTGTATTGTTGTAAGCCTTCCAAGGGCACCCTGCTATAAATTCTGGTTATAAATGTACGTGGTTACCATCTTTTTTCTGGCGTCCAATAACAGTTCGGTGCAAAGGTGGAGGTTGCAATTAATAGCAGTATGCAGGAATTTTCTAGTTTCTTAAAGAACATTTGGAAGTTTTTCTCTTTTTATTTTTATACTAGCAGTAGGTTTGCTTTAAGATCTAGAAGGCTAAATCTAATAAATACAAAAATATTGTTGGCCTTGTTTGTTAGACAGATGCTACAAAGGATATTTGTAATAATCAATTTATTTCATTTTACAAAGACTAAACAAGAAGCACTTGACAGAAAAAAAAAACATTTTACTCACCACTTTTCTTGTATAGCAGAAGTTCAGCCTTCAGCTCTTGTTTATCATTCAAGGCTTTCTGGACACAATGTTGAATTTGTTCCCCAGTGTCTGCGCCATACAGAAAGGTACAAGCGCATGACCTCTGCATAACCTCTGCTCGAGCAAAGCCAGTGAGTTCACAGAAGCCATCTGAGCAATACACCACAGGGTAGGAATGAGGCAGCTGAGCGTTGCCAAGGACAAAGTTGCTGTCTACAAAATGAAAGCACAAAAATACAGAGGAAAAAAGGCAAAAGAGGAGATTAATTAAAAACACAGAAGATGGCGGAGAAATAAAAGAGATAAGAATAAGAACTGTTAAGAAAAACAGCAATGCATAAAAATGTAGCAATATCCCATAAAATCCACAAACATGTAAAATCTGGAGTTTTGGTTGCTGCAAAGTGCACGTCACCTAGGTCTCTGCACTACACCAGTGTGAACCTGCGCACGGATTATGCAGGCTAAAGTATATGCGTGTTTTAGACAGGCATTAAAAGTGCTTTAAAACAAGCCCTCTTTAAACTGTGTAGCTATAGACATCATGGAGAAATTCATATTCAAATTTCCCAACACAGGTTTTGAAATTGTAGCTCTTTTCCTATTACTTTGTATTGTAACAGGATCTTGGCAACCTGCCAAAGGTATGGAATGGTAACTACGACATATCAAAAAAGGGGAGAAGCCGCCTTTATTTTGAATTGCCTCAGAGCAATTGGGAATAACTTGTTAGAAGCACTGAGCAACCAGCCTAATTGAAAATATCATCACATATTTTTAGGGAAAACGAAGGCTCAATTTAGTAGGAAGACTTTGCTTGTGAGTTTTTGATTAGGATGTGTAACATGCAACTATGAATGACATATACAAGTAGAGCTATTTACCAACAATGTACAAATGTGTACTTATCCACAGTATAAATTCAGAAAATGGTGCAAGTAATAGAGGTCATTTTGGAGATCACATATACCAAATTGAAAAAAGCCCTTATGCCTTTGCTAACACTTTAAGCAGAGAAAATCAATGCATAAATGTTTCAGAGATAGTGGATGTTTGCAACATTTTGATTGATACAGGTAGCTGTACATAATTTTTGTATTCACTAACATAAAAATAAAGTCACAGAAAAAGTCAATTTAACTCTTGGCGCCAATGATTACCATCACACAATCCTCCTGGAGTAGTCTTTCTTGTAAACATCCACAGCTTTTGGAGAGGCTGATCGTCAAAGAGACTCTGGGGTTCTCATCAGATACATAGAAGAAAAAAGCAACAAAGCTCCACCTCCTTGTGTGAAATCTTTTTTTATTTGAATAATAAAAACGGTTATAAATACTATGGATGCACAGATACTTTTCGAGTACCAGTGCAGATACTTGGCATTTTCATGAGAACTACCAGGGTTGCAGCTGGGACCTGGCTCTGGCACTCCACCACTGTCCTGAAATCATTAGTCTGTATTGTTTTAGAAAAACTGTCACATGACAATAAACAAAAATGTATCAGTACTCGTACTTGTAAGTACTCGGCAAGTACCAGTACTCGTACTCGCAAAACTGGTATCTGTGCATCCCTTTATTTATATTTATAAAAACAAAATCGTACATTAAAACAGAGATGTACTAATCCCAGGAGCTCCGTGTGCTCCTTACAAATGACAGCGGCCTCCTAATTTTTGAATCTTTCTCTGGTCAAGTCTTGGAGCTCAAAAGTATCGGTGCATGTACTCGTACTTGTACCGAGTACTGTACTTGGTATCTATGCAACCCTAATAAATACTCACAATTATAAAATTTCAGTCACGCTTGTCAATAAGAGACCACAAGATCAATGTCTAAGGAATGTTGCGCACCGACTGCGTATAAAAAGCTGCCTCCGGTCACATCACCATACCATCGTTCCACCGGCTGCTTTTAGGCTGGATTTAGGCCCTCGGATTGGCTTATTTTTAAACCCCTCTCTTTGACAAGGCAAGCTGCGATTCCGAGGAAGGGGGTACGCCCCTGAAACGTGTAAATCCAGCCTAAAAGCAGCCGGTGGCACGATGGTATGGTGATGTGACCGGAGGCAGCTTTTTATAAGCAGTAGTTGCGGAACACTCCTTAGACACTGATCTTGTGGTCTCTTATTGACAAGCGTGACTGAAATTTTATAATTGTGAGTATTTATAACCGTTTTTATTATTCAAATAAAAAAAGATTTCACACAAGGAGTTGGCCCTTTGTTGCTTTTGTCTTCTAACATAAATACAAGCACAATGCAGAATCTTCGTAGTAAGTGTATACTGTATAGCAGTATGCGCCTGCTACAAAAGTGCCATCTGATCTGTGAGTTCCAAGGAGAACAAATAGTTGGCACCTGATTACAGCTGCATTGTCAAAGGGAACAAGCTTAAAGCAATGCACTGCCAAAGAAGAAAAGTGATCACAAGTTAAAATTTGTGGACAGGAATAGATGGCCAAATCACAGCATTGTTACTTAAAGAGTAACTCCACTTTTGTGGAGAAAATAATCAATTCCCTTCTGGGTGATTAAAGTACATTGCAAGGATGTTAACAAACATTGTTGCAGTTTCCTACCTATTTCTGTTTTAAAGAAATAGCTGTTTGTTTCAGCATGTCTAAACTGATTCCTGAATGAAAGTGTCTGGGTTCCTTATAATCTGCTTGTGGACTTTCTGTGTTCTAATGAGGAAAGTTGCAGTGTCTGCAACCCTTTAGAAGTAACTATCCTTTAGGGAGTATCTCACAATTGTCACCAAAAATGAAACTCCTTTTGCATGGGATGCCTAAAATTTACTTGTATCTTAGTATAGGTGTCTGTAAAAATCAGTCAGCCAATCACAGAAGAAGGAAATCACTTTTCTGTGGGCGTTCTGTACACTATCTGTGTACATAAAACGCCTCCCGGTTGCCATATTGCACTGATTTTTTACAGTTTTAGAAAATTAGAGTGGCTGCAGTTTTAAATGGAAATGTCATTTTTAGTAACATTACAATACAAAATGGTCTGCGTAGCAATTATATATTCTATATTCTTTTTTTAAAGTTCTTTCACTTTTATTTATTTTTTTCAATTAAGTTTTCCTTTAATATCACAAACAGCCTCCATAATAAAATTGAATAAGCACCTCTATAATCCATTTTCCAAGGACTTAACATGGAGAGAGGTCTGTGATAACAAAAGCAGTCATTTTGTGGCTGTCATTAGGTCCAATAGTTGCCTTACATGTTGTACTACAGCCAGGCATATGAGGTTATTTTACAGAAGACATTGGTGGAAGTTCTGGTTCCTTGTTATCTTTCCAAAGCTAAACTGATTTAAAAGAGGTTTCGTACTGTAATGATAAAGCAAAAATCCTTCCATAGCCCTTAAGTCACCAGATCTAAACATCTTTTAGTTTCTGACACAGGTAAATATATTCCCCTCCTATATCATCTAATGTACTGAGTATATTTCTACAAACATTTCATGACTTGTATGACAGCATTCCAAAATGATGAAGGTGAAGTGTTGGCTGCCATGGATTACTGTACTTCACAATTGTTGGTTTTGAGCTCCCTTCAAACGAATACATATACACCCATTTTCAGAGAACGTTACATCCTTCCAGAGCTCTCCATTCAGCAAATTACTCATTGGTGAAATCACCTGGGTTTCCTAAGAATCTAATTTCAATGAATGCTGTCAGGGTAAAAAATTAAAAACTGGATTATGCAGAAAACAAATGAGGCTTTACATCGTTCCAGCCAAAGACTGTTTCATGCGGACAATATGCGTTCTAATGTTATCTAGAATACAGACCAGGGGGGCGTGGCTTGGCGCATGGAGCGGTGAGACGTGTATCGGCTCGTCTCCCGCTCGAGGGCACGTTAAACTGCAGACAGCAGCAGCTTCCTAGCCCATAAACACCGGCAATGAGCGACCGGAGGAAGAAGAGCAAGAGGCAGGGATTAGTTTCAAGAACCGAATGTTTTAATATATCGTTTTTTTTGTTTTTTTTGTTTTTTGTTTCTTTACTTAATGCTCTTTTGGTTGATGTAGCCTCGGCTATTTTGTTTACATTTAATGTTTGAGCCCTGGAGCGGGAGGAGCTCCTTGAAAAAACATGTTGGAATACTAGCACATCCGCCTCTCTAACCACTTCACCTAGCCCCCTATCCCCTCTATTTGACAACTCTTTGTTCAGAATACAGACCATTCAGCCAGCATCATATTTTAAACCACCAGAGAACGGAAGTTAACTTTTCCCTTTCACTGTATATTCTGTCACAGCTCTATGAACTGGCAATTTATGAGACTACATCAGGTTTTTATGAGTGCTTAGTGCATAGAGTACAGTTTGGATCTGAATGATCAGCCCCAACTTGCTGCTTCATCTCAATTCCTGTCTTGTATAGCAAAAAAAAAGAGAAAATACAACGTCTAGGTTCACTTCTGGAGGATTCTGTCACAAGAAATGTATGTAGAAGAAAAACCCCTGTTATCACCTCTCATGTATGATGCTTTCTGGAGTTTTGCACTGTAATTATAACAGGTCTACACCATATGAATTGATCCCTCAGTAGTGTTCACACCCCAGCACAGTATAGTACCTTATTTCAAAACCCTCTAGCTGTTGCCTTGTGCTCCATAATCTCTAGCATGCTACACTCCCTGTTCTCCACAGGATTTAATTTCTGGAGTATTTTGCTATCTTTGCTGACTTATGATCACGTCTGTGCAGCTGAGTTTGCTTTGCTCCTTGTTCTCACTCCATGTATGTTCTTGTTTCTTGGCTTACATACCATGAAAAGAAGCTGGAGCCAGAGCCCAAAGCATCTACTTTTTGGTCTTCTCCTGGCTCAAGAATGGACTGATGCAAGGGGGCTGGAGCTGCCCTGAATGTACATTATTAGTCAACTGTTGCATATCCAAGTACTCTTTTCTTGGGAACACATTCCTATTAAACCTATGCCACCTAACATGTCAAAGGGTAAATGTACTTTTGCTGTGCAGCCTTTCTGATTCTGCACACATTTGTTACTAAATGTGCAGAATTTTGCTGCAAATGCTGACCTGTATTACACCTTGTAACACATTACAACTCCACACTGATGTAATGCAAGGTGTAATAGAGGTCAACATACCATGCACCTATGTCCTACGTATTGTGCATTCCTTGCCGTCCTCCAGAAGAAGTCTGCATCTAATGGTTAGCCACACTGCATTAC